ATGCAAACACAAAAATTTTTAAGTTTGCAACTGTACTTCACTGTGAGAGCCTGGCAAGCTACCGAGAGTATTCGATATGCCAGACACAGTAACAACAAAGTCTCCAATGGAGACGTTACTGGGCCCGCTCGAGCAAATCGACGATCAACGGGAGGGGTGATTCACTAATAAAAAAAATTTTTAGAAAAAAGAATTATCAGAAAATAAATTCATAAGAGCCAATTAATGGTTACCAAATGATTTTGACTTGTGTCACTGTCATTGTCACTGTACTCCCATTGTTCATTGACTTGCTCGAGCAGGCCCAGTAATGTCTCCATTGTGAGAATTGTTGTTACTGTCTTTGGCATATAGAATACTTCACGGGTAGCTTGCCAGCCTTGCCATGCGGGTGAGATACTCTCGGTAGTTTGCTGGGCTCTCCGAGAGGGGCGGAGGAATCAAACTCGGGTCAGCCATGTTGGCTGAGTGCAAGACAAACGTCCTACCCGCTGTGCTATCACTCCAGCCCTTGACTTGTGTAAGAAAATTAAAAACACTGATACAAATTTATTAAAATGCCTATTCTCATTTACATATATATGGTTTCAACTCTGAAACCTAAAGTATATTACATTAAATTTTATTTTATACTTGGGAAAAAAATTTTTTTAATTCAAATAAAAAAAGACAGTGATATTGATTTTCTGTTCTCATGATTGATCAAATTCTATTAGAGATATGTAAAAGCCTGCTCCGAGGTGAGATTTATTAGTAGATGGATTTTTATTGACTATATGGTAGGATTTTATTATCAGCAGGATTTATTATTAACTATATAACATAATTTATTACTGACAGTATAATCACAGGACTCTGAAACATGATTTTGTCTATAAAATTTTGTGAACATTTTCTTGAACGGTGATGGTATATCCCCCAGGTTTATTGTACCTCTGGCATACAACTCTATGTCTACTCTAATTGTCCAGTTATTCACTGTTCTGGTGGGAACCTCTGTGTGAAAATTACCTTTGTGAAAATTCAGTCAGCGCTATATAAAAGATTATTTTGCTAGCATTTGCAGGAACTTCAGCAGTGATGACCCAGCACTAATGCTTGAACAGGTCTTTAAGCCATTATAGTGCTAGTGGAATGAGAAGCTTTTGTGTATTTGTATTTAAATTTAGTTTCTATGAATTAGGAATGTCAAAGCATTAAAAACAAAATTTAAGGGCCAGAGTGATAGTACAGTGGTTAGGATGTTTGCCTTGCATGTGGCTGACCCAGGTTTGATCCCCAGCATCCCATATGGTCCCCCGAGCATCACCAGCAAAGCCAGGGATAACCCCTGAGCATTGCCAGGTGTGACCTCTGAAGCAATCATTGTATCACTGTCATCCTGTTATTCATTGATTTGCTTGAGCAGGCACCAGTAATATCTGTATTCATCCTAGCCCTGAGATTTTAGCAGCCTCTCCTTACTCGTCCTTCCCAACTATGTGCATTGGAGGCTCTTTAAGGGTCAGGGGAATGAAACACATCATTGTTACTGTTTTTGGCATATCGAATACGCCACAGGAGCTTGCCAGGCTCTGCCATGCAGGCAGGATACTCTTGGTAGCTTGCTGGGTTCTCCGAGAAGGAGAACTAGACTATAAGAGAGCTTTGTTTTATAGTCTCCGGATCTTGGCCATTGATGGGATTTCATGGCACCAGGGACAGTTTGTGGGTGTAACTGCCTAGCTACTGAAAGGTGGGGGATCTGGGTGGAGGATCCCAGTCTCAATCCAAGCAGGCTTGGAGATCTCAGTCCCGGGCCCCACGCACCTGGGTTCCTCTGCCGTTTCCTTCATGCATGAGGTTCATCCGAGCATGTGGAGAGTGGTCTTAAGCATGGCTATGGCTGGGGTCCAGAGGTTTTCAGCTGCTGGGGCTCTGCTCGGGGCAGGGAAGGAAACTCAACCCACCCCCTCTGAGGGGCCTCGATGAAGACAGTGAAGACAGCCAGGCGTGGGGGCAGGAGACTCTGGATATATATATATATGCACATATGTATATATATATATATAAATATATGAACACACACACATATATAGAGAGAGAGAAACTGCACCTTTTCTAAAATAGTGGTTCAAGCAAACATTAGGGATGATAAGCTCTCTAGTGATATAAACAGAAGAGAATTAGGGTGAGATTAGAAGGAGAATGGTACCAGAGAAATGGGCCCAGGAAATGCAGAAAATAATCCCATCTTGGGGCAGAAGATAGTACAGCAGGTAAAAGCATTTGCCTTGCACTAGATCCCAGGCACCATATATGGTCCTGGAGCACTGCCAGGAGCAAGACCTGAACACTGTCAGCTGTGGCAAAAAAAAAAATCCTCCAACATTCTAACATTGGACCTAAGAGATCAAAACAATATTATCTATTTATTGCCCCAAAGCAATAAATCATCTCAAGAGGACTTGCCATGCAGGTCCACAAGGGGAAAACACCAGGATCAGCCAGGAGGCAGGGGAGCCAATGTACAAAGTAATAATGGGCACCTCTTAGACCCCAGAATTTGCTGAATTATTCAAACAAACCAATACTAAACTTCCTCACCTTACCTCACCTATTTTCCTCATGAGAGTCCAAGTTAACGCTTTTGCCTAGATTTTTCTTTCAATCCTTTTCTCTCTGACCAATACTGGCACTCCCTAATGTAACTTGTGTGGCATTCCCAGCTTCTTAGGAAGTCTGTATTATTTTTTTCCTATTTAACAGTAATTTCTGTGTCTGTATGTCTTGTTGCACCAGATTAAGAAAGATCCCGGCCTCTTCAACAAGTGGTATTGGGAAACCTGGTTAGTTATTTGTAGAAAAATAACTCAACTGGGGCAGGTAATGTGCTTTGCAAGTGGTTGACCTGAGTTTGATCCCAGACATCTCATTTCATCCCCTGTGTCTTTCCAGGAACGATACTTGAGTGCAGAGTCAGGAGTAAGTGCTGTGCACTGTCAGTTGTGGCCCAAAAATAAAAATTTAATTGAATGAATGAACTCATACCCCTATTATAGAAGAATTCTTCATGATATTGAATCTAGAGGCATATTCAATCAACGCCACTGGTCAAGGAAACAACACAAAGATAATTAAGTGTGACTACATCAAAATAAAAAGCTTCTGGGGCACAAAAGAAACAATGACCAGAATAAGGAAACAGACTTGTATAAAATAAGTTCTCACCACACATCTGATAAAGGATTAGTCTCCAAACTATGTAATGCACTTAGTAGCAGGGCCAGAGCAATGGGTAGAGCACTTACAGTGGGTAGAGCACTTACCTTTCACCCAGCTGACTCAGTTTGATCCCCGGCACCCCATGTGATCCCCCCAGAACCACCAGAAGCAATTCCTGTGTGCAGAGTCAAAAGTAACCCCTGAGCACTGCTGGAGGTGGCCCCAAAACAGAAACGAGAAGACACAGATGGCCAACAGATAGATGAAAAACTGCTCATCATCAGGAAAATGCAAATCAAAACAATGAGATATCACCTCACACCAGTGAAAATGACACCTCAAAAAGAACGAAAACAACCAGTGTTAGCATGGCTGTAGGGACAAAGGAACCCTCATCCACTGTGATGGAAATGTCACCTGGTTCAACCTTTTTGGAAAATAAAATGAACAGTTCTCAAAAAACTAAGAATTGAACTTCCACATGATCATTCTGGGCATCTGCCCAAAAACTGTTCAGAAAAGACATTTGAGCTTCCATGTTTATTGTAGCACTATTCACAATAGCCAAAATTTGGGAGCAATACAAGTGTCCAAGAACAGGTGACTGAATAAAGAAACTATGGTGCTTATACACAATGGGATGCTATTTGGCTATAAGACAATGTCATGCAATTTGCTCCTATGTGAATGGATTTGGAGAGTATCATGCTGAATGAAATCAGAAGGAAAGGGACAGATGCAGAATAATCTCTCTCATATACATAGAAACTAAGGAATAACAGATGCCCAAAGGCAACAGAAACTAAGAACTGATCAACAGAACTTAGATTATTATCACTGGAAGGAAGAGGAGTTGGGTTCGAGGTGAGGGACATTCTGATGAAGTATGTGAAATCAGAACACAAAATTATGCCATTAAAAGAATACCACAGTACCTAAATTAAAAAAAGACTTTTATAGACAAATCTGAATTATATCACAGAACAGGAAATAATACTCATGTCCAAAAACAAGTGAAATTTTCTCATATGTAAGTGTCAATATTCATAAAGATTTGTATTTACTTACAGTATTTTTGTAAGAATTGGAAGTAGTTTTGTCATAATTTACTTTCCAAATTTAATGAGAATAAGGTTACTGGAGAGAGAGGCAGTGAACAGGATGTCAGCTTATTCTTTGATCACAACCATCGATTGGGTGCAGATATAAATTCAGTAAATATCAACAAATTTATTGACTTTATTAAATTAATATGTTACATATTTTATTTATATCAAACTACCGAGAGTATTCCGCCCACACGGCAAAGCCTGGCAAGCTACCTGTGGCATATTCGATTTGCCAGAAAACATAACAACAAGTCTCACAATGGAGATGTTACTGTTGCCTGCCCTAGCAAATTGATGAACAGCCAGAGGACAATGCTACAGTGCTACATGTATAATAAATTTTTCAAAAGATTGGCTAGTGAATATTTACCAACAGATCAATGGCTAAAGCACTGTAGAAATGTACAGCTCATCAGCTTGGTAGTGCATCAGCTGAGGATGATTCTATCATCTCTGTGTGTACAAACTTCCCTAGCGCCTGGTTTCACAGGAACAAATGCTAATCGGAACACTAGGGGTGTGGCTGTAAAGAGAAACATAGTCACTGGTTTCCCTTTACCAACTGCCAGTAGTTCAGGAAGAAGAGAAACGTGGAAATCTAATGCTTAGAGAGTTCAATTAATATATTCAAAACAGAATTCAACAGAAAGGGCAACTATAGACCTGTGTGATGCGCAGCTACAAATGTCAGTGACTTCTACCAGCAGCAGAATCTGAAGAAGCATCCAGAGGCTGCTCCCGAATGCAGCCAGAAACGGTCAGTTGCTGCCTGTGTAGAAAGGGGGAAATTGTGACATGACTGAAAGGTGCCACAGGGCCCTCTCTTAACCAGCAGGCATTGGCTCAGCTTTTCCTGAAGTAAAGTCTAGAGCTGACAGGCATGGGCACCAGGAAATACAAACCAAGGAACTGATACAGATCCTGCAATTTTCTCTGTTTCTGTTCCTTCAATAAGAATACACAATAACAATAACCAGTGAAACAGCACTTCCGTTCCTAGGGCGGGTTCGGGTAGGTGGGGAGAAAAGTAAGTTCCTTCTGCCATCAATCTAGAGTGGAGAGAGCGTTTCCCAAAGGCAGGTACCCTCCTGTCAGGGTGAGCAAAACCAGGGATACCAAAAAGGCTCCACCCTGGGGAGTGAGCACTGAGATAAGGGGCCAGGAAGCCTGTCTCCACCAGCTCTCAACAGCAGGAGACAAGCCAAGGAGATAAGCCAAGTGGCACATTTATGTGAAGATTTCAGCCCTCAGCCAGGCTCTTTTTATCTCCCAGAAAGTTCCTACTCTTTACAGATCACTCTGAGCACCAACGGTATCTTTTAAGGGGAAAAAAAAAAATACCTTTTATTCACAAAATCTCAAAGCATAATAGAATAGTCAGTGGTTTACTTGTCACCGTTCTTGCATGAGATTGTAAATTATTTTTAGTTAGCCAGTTAAGAATTCTCAATTATTCTGTTTGTTAACTGGCCAACGACTAGAGAGGGAAATAGGTAGGTAGACAGGATTAAAAATCATCATTACGTAAAAAGGCTTATGTCTCAAAAGCCAAACTACTATTTCTCATGAACCAATTTCCAAGTCAATCATTTACTAAATTTCACCTTTTCCTTTAATATTCATCTATTACATTGGATTTCTACTTCCATAGCCAATGGTTAAAAATAGTATAGATTAAAAATAAATAAAATAATGTGCTACATGGGCACAAAAGTGAATTTAAAAAACTAAAACTCAATAGCTACGCTTCTGTGTGCTGTTTGAGGGAATGCAGCTCCATGTGCACGAAGCGTCATCTTCCTCCTAGGCGCCTTCAGCACCTCTAGCCCACCTATTCAGGTAGTTTCACTTCCAACTTTCAAGACTGTGTCACTGAGCCCTTTATACAGTGAACTTCAAAAATATTTGCAGAGAGAAATTGAAACCCAAGCACAAAAATTTGTTAGTCTACAACTGTACCTCATGGTGTCTCACTAATAAAAATTTAAAAATTTAAAAAAATTAAAAATAGGGGCTGGAGAGATTTGCACAGCGGGTAGGGTGTTAGCATTGCACACTGCAAACCCGGGTTCGATTCCCAGCATCCCATATGGTTCCCTGAGCACCACCAGGAGTAACTCCTGAGTGCAGCGCCAGGAGTAACCCCTGTGCATCGCCAGGTGTGACCCCCCAAAAAAATGTGTGAAAAAAATTTTAAAATAAAAAAATAAAATTAAAAAAATAAATAAAATAGATATAAAAATAAATAAATAGATAAATAGGTAACACTTTACATGGCAACTATGCAAAAAAACTATTTGCAGAATTGTGTGCGCATGCGTGTGTGTGTGTGTGTGTGTGTGTGCATGTTCGCACGTATTATGTAGAACCCATTAAGTTCTACATGACTTTCCATTGCAGTTATCACACTGTGCTATCTGATCCTGTACGTGAGCTCTCCTAGCCTCTCTGGGTCACACTGATATAGCAGGAGAGGAAGGGTAAAGGATCAAGAGAACTAGCTAATTTAGCTGTGGTCAGTTTAAATCCCACACACCAAAAAGATCTCCAATCAGAACAGGTAATGGGATGGCTGATGGGTGGGAGATAACAGCAGATAAAAGTAAGTCCCCAGCCAGGCTCTCTCTGCCCTGTCACCTACGCCCAGGCAGACAGACAGCAGGACCAGCTCGGCTCTCATGACTGGACACTCGGACAGGGGTTGTACACCCAGACAATGGCCAGGTAGCGGAGACCTCAGCCACGCACAGGTAGCTGTGGCTGGAAGTTAAAGAAAAGCAACCGGTGCTGGCGCGGATGTGGTGAGAAAGGGACCCTCCTTCACTGCTGGTGGGAATGCTGACTGGAAAACAGTATGGACGATTCTCAAAAAATTAGAAATTGAGCTCCCTTTTGACCCAGCTATAGCACTCCTGGGAATATATCCCAGAGAGGCAAAAAGGTATAGTCGAAGCGACATCTGCAATTGTTTGTTCATTGCAGCACTCTTTGCAATAGCCAGAATCTGGAACAAACCTGAGTGCCCGAGAACAGATGACTGGTTAAAGAAACTTTGGTACACCTACACAATGGAGTACTATGTAGCAGTTAGAAAAGATGAAGTCATGAATTTTACATACAAGTGGAACTACATGGAAAGTATCATGTTAAGCGAAATGAGTCAGAAAGAGAGGGATAGACAAAGAAAGATTGCATTCATCTGGGGAACATAAAGTAACAAAATAGGAAACTAACACCCAAGAGTTGTCGAAACTAGTACCGGAATTTTGCTCCGTGGCTTGGAGGCCAGCCACACATGCTAGGGGAAAAGGGAGCTGAGCTAGAGAAGGGAACACCAAATAAAGAGTGTTGGGAGGATCCTCTCAGGATGGGAGAAGCATGCTGAAAGTAGACTATAGACCAAACATGATCGCCACTGAATGCCTCTCTTGCAGGCCACAGAACCCAAAAGGAGAGAGAGAGAACAAAAGGGAATGCCCTGCCACAGAGGCAGAGTGGGATGGGGGAGGGGGGTTTGGGAGGGATACTGGGACCCGTGGTGGTAGAAAATGGGCACTGGTGGAGGAATGGGTATTTGATCATTGTATAAGTGAAACCCAAGCACAAAAATTTGTAAGTCTATAACTGTACCTCATGGTGTTTCACTAATAAAAATTTAAAAAAAAAAAGCTTTAGAAAATCAGGGGGGAAAAAAGAAAGAAAAACCAAAATGACGGAGAACTGCACAACCCAAGAGAGACCCAGCAACAAAATTTCAGAGTAGGAAAGTGCACACTGGACAGAGCTCAGCCAAGGGGCAAGACCAGGCCATCATACCCTGCAGATGAGCAGCTGGTGAGGGACTTCGGACATTTTCCATAGACTGAGCATGGAGGGACAGGACGAGACGTCCTCCAGGGCTGAGAGGAAAGGCTGGACACTGGAAAGGAGCCTAGGCCCAGGCACTGGAATCACACAATCAATTCTAACTACCTAATTTTCTGAGTTTTCTACACAGATCTTTCAAACAATTTTCAAAAATCTATTAGAAAAAAAATCCACTTTCTTGTTAATGACACCTACAGCATAGTTTTTCCTTAGCCAAGCACCAGATAGATAAGTGTCTGCTGGGAAAGGGGGTTTCTGAGTACAGAGTGAAAGATGGTTTTCTGAACACAAAACTGCTCTAGGGGCCAGAGCGATAGTGCAGAGGGTAGGGCATTTGCCTTGCATGCAGCCATCCTGGGTTCAATTCCCAGCTTGCGACATGATCCCCTGAGCACCGCAAGGAGTAGTTCCTGAGTGCAGAGCCAGGAGTAGCCCCTGAGCATCGCTGGGTGTGACCCAAAAAGACCAAAAAAAAAAAAAACTGCTCTAAAGGCATAAGCCTCTATCTCACATGAGCAATAAACCCTGTGGTGGTTTCTTCAGTGAATTTAGTTTTGAATATTTTAAATGAAAGTCCTGAGGTTTATAAAAGATCATGAGTTTGGTCAACCAATTTTCCAATTGAGGCCATCTATTCAGCGTCTCTCTTCCCTTTCAGAGTTTATTCTCTTCAGCGTATTTGAGAAATGTGTTGTTTGTGCTTAGGGGCTCTGCCCAGCAGTGCTCAGAGGATGCTCCTAGCTCCGTGCCTGAGACTTCCCTCCAGCAAGCAGTGCATGCACACTAAGCTTCTGAACTGCCCCGGGTCCTCTGTCACTCTTTCTATTTCTCCTTCTTGCTGGACAGACTGTGAATCACCACTGGAGCTGATATTAGCACCTGTCTCCAAGTACCAAGTAGTTTGGATTTCTTTTATTTGTTTGTTCGTTTTGCTTTTTGGGTCACACCCAGCGATGCACAGGGGTTACTCCTGGCTCTGTGCTCAGGAATTACTCCTGGCGGTGCTCAGGGGACCATATGGGATGCTGGGAATCAAACCTGGGTCGGCTGTGTGCCAGGCAAATGTCCTACCCACTCTGCTATCACTCTAGCCCCCCGGATATTTTGTTAGGCCCTCAAGCCCTTTTTATTTTCCCTGTTGGAGTTCAGATTTGCTAGAAGACAAGACTGACTTTCAAGAGATAATTAGGGTCCTTAGAAAGGATCTAACTCTTCTCCTTTATTAGAAATCTAAAACAATTTTATTTATTTTGTCACTTTGAATGGGTTGGAGCGATAGCACAGCAGGTAGGGCGTTTGCATTGCACGCAGCCAACCTGGCTGTCCCAGGTTCGATTCCTCCACCCCTCTCGGAGAGCCCAGCAAGCTACTGAGAGTATCTCGCCCACACGGCAAAGCCTGGCAAGCTACCCGCGATGTATTCAATATGCCAAACACAGTAATAGGTGTCACAATGGAGACCTTACTGGCCCGCTCGAGCAAATCGATGAACAAAGGGAGGACAGTGACAGTGACAGTGACAGTGAATTATAGTTACTTATGACTAGGTTTCACGCATACAATGTTCCAACACCAATCCCTTCACCAGTGTCCACTTCACTCACCATCATTCACTTCTCTCCCTCAGTGTCAACTTCTCCTCAGTGTTCCCAGTTTCCCTCCCACACCCCACCCTGCCTCTGTAACAGGCTCTTTTAAATAATCTTTTTTTTAATTTATTTCATTTTAAACAGGCACTGAGTAAATTTTAGGCACAGTGGTTAGGATCTAACTCTTCTGACAGAATTCTCTCTCTGCTTAATTATTATAAAGGGTTTATAATTATTATAATTATTATAAAAACCTTTATAATTATTATAAAGGTTTCGCTGTGTAGCATCTTCTTTTTTTAAGGGAAATGTTGGTGGAAGGTCTTAAGAAGTGCCGACTGGCCTGAAAGGGTGTCACAAAGGAGCAATTACAGGAGGGTGGGAAATAGGTGTTGGTGCCCAGCTGTCTGCCTTTAGTCTTCAGTCTCTGTTCTCTCCTTGGCCTTCCTCCTCCCTCTCCTCCTTCCTGTATGTTTGGAGCATTTTTAGGCAGCTGCTCTTTGCCAAAGCAGTAGTGCTGACTGGCCCTCCAAGGACTTAGAGTCAGTGCTGTTGAGTGTGGAAGGATCTGCGTGCATCGTGCACAAAGAGCTCAGGGCACTCAGAAGGACTTGATCAGCTATCTCAGAAGAGGGCTTCTGTGCTCTGCGGGCTCTGTGTGAGGACCCAGGAGGTCCCAGTCTCTAATATTCAATCACACGTGTCAGTCATCTGCCTGGATGACACAGGAAAGCAAGACAGACTCCTCTTGAACACGTTTATTAAACAAAAGAATTGGTAGTGAAACAGGACACATATCCAAGTAATATTTCAGCTTCTAAGAAACCAATCAAATCTGTTGCAACCTAGACAGTCAGAAGCGATGCCTAGAACTGCCGGGGCTTCCGTGGTACCCCAGAGTCTGAGCAATCCTCTCTTCCTTGAGGATGCTTTGCAGCAGGAGGCAGGGCACAGTGAGGAGGAAACTCAGCAAGTAAGGTGAGCTCAGTCCATTAGCCCTGGAGGCCAGAAAGTCTTGCAGGTCTGAAACAAAATATCCAGAGTCTTTTAGATGTAGTGTGGCAAGCTTGCTTTAGAAGAGAATTGTCTATTCTCTCAAACCTTTCTCTCTCCTTGGCCTCCTCACAAGACCATGGCCCCTGGGCAGTGGATGGGCTAAAAACTCCACCTTCACACAAGAGCCACAAAAGGAGGAACACGGAGTGAGCAAGACTCGCCTTCCCTTTAAACTTTCTTTTCCTCTTTGTTTTGTTCTGGTTTGGGGGTCACAGCCGGTAGTGCTCAGGGTTTAACTCCTGGCTCTGCTCAGGGATCACTCCTAGAGGGGCTTGGGGAACCATCTGGGATGCTGGGACTCAAGCGCAGGTGAGCTGAGCAGAAGGCAACACCCCGTCCTGTACTAGCCCTCAGCCCTCCTTTAGACATTCTATCCCTTTCACTGCAAGCAGAAACCAGGGGATTTTTATGGAACCAGGAGAGGTGAGAGAGAAATTTTGAAGGCTAACACATAAATAACCTTCCTCAGCTTCAGAATTCCACACAACTGAGTCAGTCACTGCGGGCTCAAAGATCTAATTTAAAATAAAATAGTGGTGCTGGAGCAATAGCACAGCGTGTAGGACATTTGCTTTGCACGCGGCCAACCCGGGTTCAACTCCCAGCATCCCATATGGTCCCCTGAGCAACACCAGGAGTAATTCCTGAGTGCAGAACCAGAAATAACCCCTGTGTATCACCAGGTGTGATACAAAAAAAAAAAAGCAAAAATAAATAAGTAAAATAGGTAGCACAATTAGGACATGGAAGGGACCACTATGGTAATGGTAGTTGGAAATGATCATTCTGGACAAGAACTGCATGCCAAAGGAGATAAAGGTTATACATAATAAACTTTCAGTACCTATATTGCCAGCCTTAATGCCCAAAAGTAGCAGGGGTATGGCGGGGGGAGGGGGGGGAAGAGCAGGGAGGGAGAGAGAGGAGGGAGGGAGGGAGAGAGGAGGGAGAGAGGCAAGAGAGGGAGATAGAGAGAGAGAAAGAGAAAGAGGAGGGAGGGAGAGGTGAGAGAGAGGAGGGAGAGAGGGAGGAAAAGAGAGAGAGAGAAGTGTCTGCCATAGATTCAGGCTTGAGGGGCAGTGCGGTTGGGGTGGTGGGATGATGGGAGGGAAACCAGGGACATTAGTGATGGGAAATGTACACTGATGAAGGGATGGATGTTGGAGCATTCGTGTGTGACTGAAACCCGATCATGAACAACTTTGTTATTGTGTATCTCCCGGTGATTTGATAAAAAATAAATACATAGTTGACAATAAAATGACAGTTAAAAGGAAATCCAACTTGCCTGTCCCCTCCCAACCCTCAAGAAGTCCCGGCCTGGTTTATTGACCGGAGGCTGCTCACACAAGAGTTGACTCCCCGTTCCTGAAGTCTTGGCTACTGCACAGCATGACAGACCCTCTCTCCCCCCGTCCGGCACCGTCTCCTCCTGTGCCCATACCCTCAGCTGCAACCAAGTGGCTGTAGTGTGGCAGCACTGACTCTGAGCCCAAGAATCCTAGTGTCTGACTCTTCCTCTAGCTGGGATCCCCAGCCAAAGCTGCTGAGGATGGATCTCTGCATGGGGACCAGTGCAGGGGTCTCTTTAGCTAACAATCTGTTAGCAAGCAATGAGCGTGTGAAGCTGACAAGCCCCACAGCCTGGATACCAGCAGAGGGGCCAGCAACACTGAAATATTCTCACGAGCAAATCTGGGGCTGGACATAGGAGGCCGGCAGAGAAGCCTGCAGACCAGCACCCAGCTACTGGGACGTCTTCTCAGGGATGCCCAAGAAGAGTCACCCGACTTTCCCCTGCACAGGCCTACGTAGCCCTGCCATCTATCATCCTGGTGAGTCTGAAGTGGAGATTTTGAGTAATGAGAAAGGAAGGCACTGCAGCTGGGACTCCTTCTGCACCTGGGCACAGCTGTGGGGAAGGTGGTGAAGAGGGATAGAGACAGACTTGCTCTGAGCCAGTCACTGCGGCCTTGCTCTCCCCTACCTCGGGGAAGAACCACACAAAAAAAGGAATCCAAGCATCCAGTCCCAGAGGACACTGGTGAGGACACAGGGCTGATGAGGAAGAGCTGACAGGGACACTGTGTGAGAACGAGGTTTGCTCTCTCGAACCTGGCATTGACTTCCCCGGGCACAGGAGGGGATTTTGTCCTACAGCCGAACGTAAGTGCTTTCTTGTGCATAAATTCAAGGGCCCCTGGTTGGACCAGCTTTGTGAATGTGGTTGGAGTGAACAAACCCCTCCTCCAGGCAGGCATCCCCAGAGAGATGTTGGAGCAGCAGTGGGTCTCTGTGGAAGGGCTCGAGGTCACGGGCTGAGCTTAGAAGGAAAATCTTAGAACTTCCACCAGTACTTATAGAAAACTTTTCAAATAAGCATTTTCAAACTTAATGCGTTCATCACACTCCATGAAATCAACAGATGGGTCCACTATTATTTTATATAATTGCAAAAAGAAAAGGGCAATTGGTAAGTAAATAATGAACCTACTGGTAAAGGAACAAGCATGATAACCTCTCAGTATCTGCATTGCAGATGATAGTGCCCAGAAGGGGAAAGAGAGAGAGAGAGAGAGAGAGAGAGAGAGAGACAGAGACAGAGACAGAGACAGAGACAGAGACAGAGACAGAGAAGGAAAGTGCCTGCCATAGAGCCATAGAGGCAGATGGGGATGGGGGGGGGGGGGGGGAAAGAGGTTACAGGAGGGAAACTGGGTCATTGTTGGTGGGAAATGGACACTGGTGGAGGGATGGGTGTTGGATTATTGTATTACTGAAACCTGATCATGAACAGCTTCGTAACTGTGTATCTCACAGTGATTCAATCAAGTAGCAGTGTAGCACTGTAGCACTGTCCTCCCTTTGTTCATTGATTTGCTCAAGCAGGCACCTGTAAAGTCTCACAACAAACTGTAAGACTTGTTGTTACTGTTTTTGGCATACTGAATACATCAAGGGTAGATTGCCAGGCTTTGCCTGTGGGCCAGATACTCTCATTAGCTTGCCGGGCTCTCTGAGAGGGGTGGAGGAATTGAACCCACGTTGGCCACATGCAAGGCAGATGCCCAACCCGCTGTGCTATCAAAAAAAGTAAAATTTAAAAATAAGTAAATAAAAATAATGAACCTCAGGGGTACGGTGCCACCCAGCAGGTCAACCTGTACCTGTGGGGCGAGTGCATCAGCAGCCTGATGGTGCCGTCAGGCTTCCCAGGCTTCCCGACACCCCAAAATTGCTGCTAGGCCTCTGGCCGGACCACAACAACTTGGAACAACGTTTCCTGAGAAATATGGGAGTCACACCCAAAAACCGCCTGCAGCTCAGGTATGCAAGCTCAATAAACTATTTAGCATCTGCCCAAGGGGCAGATTGGGGTGGTGGTAGGAAGACTTAAAGTAATGGTGGTGGGAAGGCTCAATGGTGGTGGGATTGGTAATGAAATAGTGAATGTAAACAATTACTATGAACAACTTTATGAAAAATTTAAAAAGTAAAAAAAGAAAAGAAAGAAATTTCAGTTGCTACCAGCTACTCCTGAGAGTAGGGATGGAATCTAAATAATTTTAAGATAAACTGATGTAATAGCGTACGTGTGCAACCTCAGGGAACCAGCACTTGTGTAACTTCAGAGAGTCGGCATGCATGCACAACCTCAGAGAACCAGCACCCGTGCAACCTCAGAAAGCCATCCTGCATGTGCCATCCCATACATCTAAACAACAACCCCCATGACAAAGGGAGTTATTATTATAAGAATAATAGTAATTTTTCAGTGTGTGTTGTAACAAGCAATAAAAACTGAACAATTTTGTGCCCGCCTAGGGGGCGGGCTTGGGGATAGGTGGGAAATTGGGGTGGGGACAATGGTGGAGGGAAGGTCCCACTGATGGTGGGATTGGCACTGGAATATTGAATGCCTGAAACAGCTGTATTATAAACAACTTTGTAAGTCAGGATGTTTAAATAAAGTAATAAAATAAAATAAAATGCATTCAAAAACAAATTTTTTTTTTTAAAAAATGAACCTACCAAAAAGCCTTTCAAGATTTCGATCCAGCAGAGATTTTTATCATGCATATGAGTATGGCACATATGGGAAAGGCATAAAGTAAAGTAAAAGTAAAGGCCCTCCCGTTGATCTTCGATTTGCTCATGCGGGCCCAGTAACATCTCCATTGGAGACTTTGTTGTTACTGTGTTTGGCATATCGAATACGTCACGGGGAAAATGTCATTTATGCATATGGTTCAGCAGCTGAATGAGGCCCTTGCTCAGATATTCTTACTGACAAGCACTGGGGTACCCTGGATGATAGGAGTATGGTTCAGTACAAGGATGAGAAGCAGCCTTCATACTCTCCAATGTGCAGACTCAAGTGTCTCTGGAAGTCAGAGACTTCCTCTCCAACCAGGATACTAAGAGAATTTTGCACTCTTACGGGATGACATTCACAGACAATTTGACAAAAGTCTACCCTTCTTTTTTCATTTATTTTTGGGAGATTTGTTTTGGTTTCGTTTGAGTTGTGAGCCACACCTGGAGGTGCTCGGGGCTGATTCCTGGCCCTGCACTCAGGGATCATTTCTGGCAGCTCAGGGGAACCATGTGAGGTGTGGCGTTAGAATGGGTCGGCCGCACACAGGGCAAGCACCCTATCCGTTGTACTATTACACCAACCCATTTTGTTTTTGTTTTGTGGCCACACCTGGCAGTGCTCAGGGTTTACTCCCGGCAGGGCTCAGCAGACCATATGGGATGCCGGGGATTGAACAAAGCAATCGCAAAGCAATCGCCCTCCCCATGGTGCTCTGTTTCTAGCCCTGGGTAAAGTTCTAGTCATTCATCCTTACCTAGGGGCTAGAGTCCCATTCCCTCCGCAGAGCACCAGCTGCCTGTTGATTGTTGACTGGCTTTTGCCTAACATGTGTGTTTTATTAGGATTATTGGGGTGAGCTCCTGAGCAGTGCTGGGGACCCACAGGCCTCTTGGGGCAGATCTTGCCTCCTGGACCAGATGGGCTGCTGCTCAGACTGGCATGGCTGTGTCTGGCCCAGAAGTTCTGAGGCCACTAGGGCCAAAGCCTATGTTGCTTAAACGGGAATAAATAAAGGGCAGGATATTGAATGTGGGGCTTTTGCATGCAAGGGAAGCATCCCACCCCCTGAGTTGTGTCTCAGCCCCACAAAATGTATTGTGATTTTCTTTTTGGTTTTATAATTGTGTTTGAAGCGTGAGGTTTGGCTTGGCCTTACCCCAATCTGATATTTACATGGCTTGTTTATCTCTGAAGACTCTTGAGTTTCTTCTTCATGGGCAATGTGTTACAGCTCATATCTATGTGACTTCATGGAAGTTAAAAGAGACAGTGCCATCATTTTGATAAAGATATAGCTATAGAATCATTCATTATGCTGTATAGGTTAGCTGATATAATGTCTTATATCGGGGCCAGAGAGATAGTACAGCGAATAGGGCATTTGCCTTGCACACAGCTGACCCGAGTTCAATCCCCAGCATACCACAATCCCCAAGCACCGTCAGGAGTAATTCCTGAGTGTAGAACCAGGAGTAACCCCTGAGCATGGCTGGGTGTGGCCCCAAAGAGCAAAAAAAAAAAAAGATTAATTTTTTAAAATGTCTTATATCAATTGTCTCTCAAAAAAGTATCTAGCATATTTCAGAGATGTGCTTACTTACACAATGTGAATGATAATAATCTTATTCACAGATTAATATTACATATTAACCATCATTCCATCAATGGTTATACTAATATGACATGGTGTTAATATTTTAAAATAAAATGTTCTTATAATATAGCTTGTTTTCAGGTGAACAATAATCTATCTCTTATGGTTATACATTAAGAAAAAATAGACCCTGTCTACTAGTTTTCAGAGTTTCACTGGCCTCCAATCCCAAAGAGACAACTGACTGTGTCCAGTGCAATATTACAGGTTTTTCCATAGGCTTCCATAGAACTAAATGGTTCAGCTGTATGAACTGCATGAAATACATGGAGAGCTAATAAGCAGTTACCATGATGCTGCCATCATAAACCTTCATTATGCAGCTGCCACAACCCCCATCACTATCATCCTTACCACTGTTTGTACAATTCTACTGTCACCACCATCACTGTCATCCTGTGCTGCCATGATCAGTACCACCAGCAGCCGGAGGCAGGATCAGTGGGTGAGAGAGCAGGGGTCTTCACGTGCCTGACAAAGTACCCTGCGGATGGGTCAAAGAAGACAGCAGCCCCAGACTTGGAAGACTCAGAGGATGTAAAATAGTGACCCCATCTCCTGGAAGTCAGTTTTCCTCCAGTGCTTTTGCCCGGAGACTAGAAATAATCCCTGGTACCTTCCCCACATCCCTGCTGGGAGCCAATGGCAAGTGGGAAGTGACTTACCTGTCCGAACACAGATGCACCACCTACAACTCCCACGCCTGCTCCCTACTTCCTGCCCCCCTTTCTCTGAAACATGGGAGGAGGCCGACATCCTCACACAGATAAGCGGGGTAAGGTGGCTTTGGGGGATGTGCCTGGGCTGGAATCAAAGAGCAGTGGCACAAAGAAGGCGGGAATGAGACCAAAGGGCTGTGCCTTCATGAAGACCCCCTTAACTGTGCTGTGAAGATTGCCTTGCTTCACCAAAAACAGCTGCAGATGGGGTGAACACTGACCCTAGGAGTTCAGGGTTGGACCCTCATTGTGGCCCTGAGCTGTCGCCCACAGCAGGGTATTGACAGGTGGGGAGGACAGGAGGTCGGCTGATAGGGCTACTCACTGGTGCTGCCCTCACGGTAACCTCCCGGTGGGCATGGAGAGGCTGTGGTGTCACTGTGCCCTTCCATAGGGGTTGGGTGGAGGGTGGGGCTGGACGCCCCCAATAGAGAAGCCCCCTGGCCGGCTACTTGGCTATGTCTCGGTTAACGGTGGCCTGACTCTTTCCCCAGGCAGGGTGAGGCCTTCTCTAAGTGCCCCCAGCCCTGCCAAGACAGTCCAGCACCGCAGACCGATTCAGCCGCGCGCCAACCTAGGACTTGCATGTTTCTCATTGCGTTTCAGGAGGGAAACTTCTGCGTGGCCTTAGCTCAGAAACCCCTACAAAGGTTGTTGGTGCGACGCCTCGGTCGCTGTCCTAGGAGCGAAGCTAGGCGGCGGGAGACGTGCAGGGGGCCCGGGGGCTTACCGCAGCGGCCAGGAGCGCGCGGGGGCAGGCAGCGTAGCGCGGCGAAGACGCAGCGGCACAGGCGGCAGCCGCCGAACGTCCAGGCTCCGTGCTCCAGGGCGCCGCAGCCACTGCGGGGACAGACGTCAGTGCCGACCGTGGGCGCCGGGCCCGTGAGAACCCAGGTCGCTAGCGCCGGGCCCCGTTAGAACCCAGACCGCTTAGCGCAGAGAACCCGTTAGAACCCAGACCGCTTAGCGCCGGGTCCCGTTAGTGAAGGATCCCGGTTAGCGGCCCGCGTCCACCCGCGTCTTGCCCCGCGCCCACCCCGCGGCCCACCCCGCGCCCTGCCCCGCGCCCACCTGTGCCTCTGGTCGTGCTCGCAGTAGCGGCCGGTGAAGTGCGCGGGACACACGCAGAAGCTGCCCAGCACGCAGGTGCCCCCGTTCCTGCAACAGCGCCGGGGCTGGGGCTCACCTGTCGGAGAAGAACGAGGGGCGAAGGGGGGCGGCGGCTCAGCGCCTCTGCGCCCCTCGCCACCCGGCCTCTGCTCCCCCACCTACCCGAGACCAAAGCAAAAGTTCGCCTCCCCGACCACCCTCCCCCGCCAGCAATAAAATTAGCACCTGGCGGGAGTGTTTGCTCAGGTACTTGGTAGGATGAAAAGCATCCCGGAGGGGGCGGGCGAGGCTGAAAGGCCGACGGGGCCGCGGGGCGCCGGCTCCGCCTTTGTCATGCTAAGCCCGGCTGCCGGGCTTCACGAGACGGTGATTAAAGACAGGCCTCCCGAGCGACCACCCACGGGAGCCGCGACACCCCCTCCGACGCCGAAAACTCCCCCGCCCCCGCCCCACTGCAGGGACCCCTGGGGACACGAAGTCTTGGATGGAGCCCGAAAGTCTGCAGACAGCCGTGAAGGCCCCTGTTACGAGGAACATTTGTTCCAAAAACATCCCAATCCCTGGACCTGCAAAAAATCCCTGGTCGAGGCAAACGCAGACGCCAAGCGGCCTTGACAAAACATCCAGGAAGTTTTTACCAATGAACTGTCAAAGTCTTTTTCAAAACTAAAGAACACCTCCCACTGTGAATTCTTTTAAACCACAATGCATCATCATGAAGATGAGAAAATGTTCTCTGTTTCTGTTTGTCTATTTAATCTTTTTTTTTTAAATTCTGCCTGTATTGCACTGCATAGTATCAACACACTGGTTTTTGGTTGATTTTTCTTGGGTTTTTTTTTTTTTTTGGTCCAATTTGTTTTAAAATCTTTAAAAAGACTTAACCCAGAAGTGAAAACCAATGATCCAGCGTGAGTGGGCTGGCCTGCCTGTTGGTTCTGAGTGCAGAAAACTGATTCTGTTAGAACTCTAAGCAGTTTAAGGAGCTGGTTATTGGACCCGCTGCGCAGAAGCCTCTTGATGACGCTGTCAAGAGAATTTTATCTATGATGTGAGGCTGGATTAAGTGATGAATTCCCACTTAACTCTAAATTTTGTGATTTGATAACTCCAGAAGTTAGCTCATACTCAGCATACTTTATTATCACAAATAGGTGCTAGATACCTTTAAGTATCTTACGAAAATGAATAATTGCCCATAATAATCATTGCACACTATTCAGTATAAGAAATATGCCATTAATAGAGAAGAATGACGAGGAAGGTGCTTTGAGACAGAGCTCATGTTTTATCCTACCTTTGTGGCCCTCAAAACTCAGTGTCTGATTATTACCAAACGGAGGGAGGGTGCCCCCATTTATATTGAGAGATCATCTGTGAAAATACCTTGTAACACAAGCAAGCACTGCAGAAAACTACTAAAATAAAAGCCATTTTTTTAAAAGTTTCACATCATGGTCACACCCTACATTTTGTGTAGGCGCACACATACACACACACACACACACACACACACACACACACATACCCCCGCAGGCCTATTGTGGTGTAATGTGGCAGCTATTTCAGAATCCACAAACCTCCTTCTGTCTGTGGGTGGGGCAGTACCAAGACTTACTTTCCTGGAAACTCTGGGAGTAAATGCGTGAATCCGGCAGCCTCCAGCTGTCCGCGCTATCATTCACTGTTCTAAAATTGTCCGAGGATGAGTGAAACGTTTTCTGCTGGAACTTTTGAGCTGTGACATTGTGGATTTCTTCTCTATTCTTGTGTCTCTCTCTTTGATGACCTTTTAAAAACATTGAGAATCTGAGACTGATAATGACTGAGAAAGAGACATAATAAAATCAGACTATAAATAAAATGCTGCTTACTGTTTCCCAATTGGATTGTCTGGAATGCCAAACTGATCATAAACAGAAGCCTGTAATAATCAAAGAAAATAATTAAAATATAAAAAGTTAGAAACATAACATATGCATAAAATGTCGTGCAATAATTCTATACAACATTTAAGCATATAAAATACCTAGAAAAATAAGATCATTTTTCAATTATAAATAAAATAACAGTGCAATTATTTTTCATTTATTTTGCTACTTGCTCAGTTTTGTTATGCAAAAGCAAATGTACAAATTACAAATGTACAGAGTATGGCTTGGAAAGATTTTGAGATCCAGAAAGTGCCTTATTCCTTAATGAGAAGAAAAAATTGTGCATACATTTTTTTCCAAAGGCTTTTAAATGCCCCTCTTGGCTCCAATATAGGCACCATCTATGTCCTTACCTAACAGGGCAGCTCTGGGTCATTTTCCCACTGCTTGAGTGTTCTCTCACCAAAACACTGAAGCTAGACGTCCAAGAAAGTTGAATCTGAAATTATCTTCGCACCCAGATCTGGAGAAACTTCATCAAGCGGCAGCATGGGTAAGAAGACAGCAATTTCCTACCTTCTGCTCAAGTCAAGAGAAAGATCTTTGAATTCTGCTATGCTAACCCAAGGCAGTGGCCTGCTGTGACAGGCAGAGCCCATGCTGAGCTCTTTCCTCAATGGCTGGGGGTGGAGTCTGGGCTGAGTAGATACTGTAGTGATTGCAGCTTCAGAGGTTGACCTTTGTAAAAAACACTGCCAAGCCTTTCCCTCACTGAAAACAATCAAATCAAAACAGAATTGAAATTTTGACATGCACAAAAATAGAAAACTTGATTTTGCACTGCATATATTCTGTATGTATGCATCATCGTATGTTGCATATTTTCATAGGCAAATGGAAATTGATGATGCATAGGCTTTGTATAGATAAATGGTCAGGGCCCAGCTAAAAAAGAAGCTTCTTAAGGAGCATTGCTCCCCCAAATCCCAAAGTGAGAACACTGTATCAAAGGATAGTTCCATATCTGCCTGATAGAAACCTGTCACTATTCCAAACCCAGCCTTTTCTCTACATAGCATGATAGCGAACATGTAAGATCTGTCACCAGAGAGAAAAGCACAATCCATCCTGGAAAGGCATTATCCCCCATACAAACGGCAAGCCAACTATGATTGGCAATTTAAGCTCCATTTATGGAGCAATACTGATTCCAAATATATCTGATAATGTATTAAGTTTTTTTGGTGGGTTTGTTTGCTTATTTGTCTTTGGACCAGTGATCCTGTGGCATTGCTCCTGATTTTGTGCTCAGAGGTTGTTCCCAGGAGTGATGGGAACTGGGTGGGTGGGAAAGACCATGCAGTGACTGGGATCAAACCAAGTCCTCTCACCGGCAAAGCAAGTGGGCAATCTTTTAAGCTAACTTTATGACCCTATCAAAGTTTTGATTGTATTTGAAGTTTAATTTTGGGGGAGTCACACCTGGCAATGCACAGGGGTTACTCCTGGCTCATGCACTCAGGAATTACTCCTTGCGGTGTTCAGGGGACCATATGGGATGCTGGCAATCGAACCCAGGACGGCCGCGTGCAAGGCAAACGCACTCCCCGCTATGCTATCGCTCCAACCCCTGAAGTTTCATTTTTTAATGAAAATTTGTACTAAGAACATTTCAAACATATGCAAAAAAATGGACAATGATCCAATCATGGATCACTACAACTGAGGTTAACAGTAGAGAGCTTACTTTGCATGAAGGAGGTCTTAGGTTAGATTCTTGGCACTGCAAAAACATGTTGGTTGAACAATTGATACAAACTTGATACAAACTTTTATCAATCTTCATTTATTTTCTATGTCATTTGGAGTTTACTGGAGGTATTTGGGGCTGTTGTTTTGTTTTGAGGTTTTTGAGTACTGGTAGTGCTCAAAAGTTATCCCCAGCTCTGTAAACAGGGGTCACATCTGCTCTGGGCCTGTATGGTGTTGGAGATTGAACCAGGATTCCTGTGTGCAAGGCATGTACTCAACTCATTAAGCCCTCTCTCCAACCCCTTTTGGAGCTCTTTTTTTTTTCCAGTCAAATCTCAGGCATCATGACATTTCCTTCATCAAATGAGTTTTTTTCAGGTTTGTGTTATATAAGTGGATACTAGAAAAGTATCTTACCAGCAAGAAAGGCTTAAGAGACTAGAACAGCTGTGGCTGGTCCTCTGGCTGTTTGCTGATTGAGCTCAGGGAGAGGTAAATGCCTGTGAATGTGCATATGTGTGTGCATGCGTGCACACACAAGGAGGGGAAGTAGGCTAGAGTTCCAACTTTTTGGAATTCATTTGTTGTTTTTTCTATGTAATGGGGGGGGGACATTTCTAGTTGCATTTCTTTTCATTCATTTCAGAGTCTTTGGATTTTAGGTGTGGTAGAAAAAGCAGGAAACGGAAGAAAGTGATTGTAGCTCAAGAGAATAATGAAGACTAAAGATGGGAAGAAATAAGACTTCTTAACTTAAAGACACAGAGTGCCGAACAAATGGCCTAGTCCTTTCTTAAGACAATTGCATTGTTTGTTTTTTTTTTTATCTCAGTTACCTAAATATTTTTTTGTTTATACATGTACTGGAGCGATAGCACAGCGGGTAGGGCGTTTGCCTTACAAGCGGCCAACATGGCCGACCCGAGTTCGATTCCTCCGCCCCTCTCGGAGAGCCCGGCAAGCTACCGAGAGTATTCGATATGCCAGACACAGTAACAACAAAGTCTCCAGTGGAGACGTTACTGGGCCCGCTCGAGCAAATCGACGATCAACGGGAGGGCCTTTACCTTACCTTACCTTAAATTTATTATTTAAAGCATGGCTGGAGCGATAGCACAGCGGGTAAGGCGTTCGCCTTACAAGCGGCCAACATGGCCGACCCGAGTTCGATTCCTCCGCCCCTCTCGGAGAGCCCGGCAAGCTACCGAGAGTATTCGATATGCCAGACACAGTAACAACAAAGTCTCCAATGGAGACGTTACTGGGCCCGCTCGAGCAAATCGACGATCAACGGGAGGGCCTTTACCTTTACCTTATACATGTACTTAAAATTTTCTGCATGTTTTTCTTTGTTTGTGGTGGAGGTGCACACCCAGCAAGCAGTACTCATGGCTTACTCTTGACTTTGCACTCAGTAATCACTCCTATTGGTGCTTGGGGTTCAGGGATAGTACCTGGAATGGCCATGTGCAAGGCAAATGCCCTACCCACTCTACTTTCTCTCCAGCCCCAAATATTTATACATTTTTTTTATTAGTGAAACATCATGAGGTACAGTTGTAGACGTACAAATTTTTGTGCTTGGGTTTCAATTATACAATGATCAAATACCCATTCCTCCACCAGTGCCCATTTCCTACCACCACGGATCCCAGTATCCTTCCCACCCCACATCCCCCCATCCCACCCTGCCTCTGTGGCAGGGCATTACCTTTTGTTCTCTCTCTCTTATTGGGTGTTGTGGTTTGCAAAAGAGGCAATGGGTGACAATCATGTTTGGTCTATAGTCTACTTTCAGCATGCTTCTCCCATCCTGGGAGGATCCTCCCAAAACCCTTTATTTGGTGTTCCCTTCTCTATCTGAGCTCCGTTTTCCCCTAGCATGTGTGGTTGGCCTCCAAGCCATGGGGTAAAATTCCTGGTACTAATTTCGGCCATTCTTGAGTGTTAGTCTCCTATTTTGTTACTTTATGCTCCCCAGATGAATGCAATCTTTCTATGTCTATCCCTTTCTTTCTGAGTCATTTCGCTTAACATGATACTTTCCATGTAGTACCACTTGTATGTAAATTTTATGACTTAATCTTTTCTAACAGCTACATAGTACTCCATTGTGTAAATGTACCAAAGTTTCCTTAACCAGTCATCTGTTCTCGGGCACTCAGGTTTTTTCCAGATTCTGGCTATTGTATTTACACTTTTATAAAGTTAGTGTCAGCGAGTTAGTTGAAGTTTTACTTTCATGCTGAGACACATTTGAGTCTCTAAATTACATAGTACTGTAAGTGTATGACCTAGTTTTAAATGTATGATTTGGAATCTTATAACAAAAAGTACAAAGTTATTTGTGGATGAACTAAAAAAGTAAACAGCTGAATGAAATTAAACTTCTAATATTATCCTATGAAAAAAAAATTTTGTTCTTTTTCACAATCAAGCTCTCAAACTTTTTGAAGCTTAAAATACATAAAATGTTTATTGTTAAAAAAAAAGATAGGGGCCAGAGTGATAGTACAGCGGGAGGGCATTTGCCTTGCATGCGGCCAACCTGGGTTCAATCCCCGACATCCCATATGGTCCCCCATGCACCACCAATAGTAACTCCTGAGTGTAGAGCCAGGAGTAACTCCTGAGCATCACTGGGTGTGACCCCCCTCAAAAAAAGAAAAAAAAAACAATTATTGTACCTTCATATTAATTAACTATTTATTTATTTATTTAGAAATAAATGTAGAAAACATATGGCAGAGCCTGGCAAGCTGCCCATGGCATTTCGATATGCCAAAAACAGTGACAATAACGGGTCTCATTCCCCTGACCCTGAAAGCCTCCAATGCAGCAGCGCTGGGAAAAACAAGTAAGGAGAGACTGCTAAAATCTCAGGGCTGGGACGAATGAAGATGTTACTGGCACCCGCTCGAGTAAATCAATGCACAACGGGATGACAGTGACAGTGATACAGTGAAGACAACATGAAAACAGTTTTAGTGCCCATAGATGAATGAACAAATAAAGAAATATGGTGGCTGTAGCTACATGTCACCAAAATACGACCACACAGCCTGAAAAAATGTATCATTAGTCAAGTTCATCATTGTGCAAACCTCAGTGAGTGTGATGATACAAGTCTAGATGGAATGGTGTAGTCCAAGGCTCTTCAGCCTTTTTCCACCTGCAGACCATATACTGGTCCACAGAGCCGTGTGTAGAGAATGCTGTTGTGGTGCATTGGGATCATGTGATATATCATTGGCTGAAAGATGGTTAAGTGAAACATAGCAGTAATAGAACATTTTTCAGTCAAAAAAAAAAAAGAAGAAGGAAACTTTGTGATTTGAAACAACATAAAATTAGCTTGAGGAAAGCCTGAAGTAAGTCTGACATAAGCAAATACTGTACGATCTTACTTTACGTTCACTTTAAAAAACAAAATTAAGAATCTGGAGAAATAGTACAATGGGTAGGGCACTTGCCTTGCATGCTGCTGACCGGGATTCAAGCCCCAGCACCCTGGCTGGGCTCCCTGGGCACCGCCAGGAATAATTCCTAAATGCAGAGCTGGGAGTAACCCCCGAGCATTTCCAACTGTGACTCCAAAACTTAAATAAACAAATAATCCTATCTATCTTTAAGTCCCACACATGAAAGAGATCATTCTGCATCTGTTCCTTTTCTTCTGACAGA